TGTGGAATGCTGGGAGTAATTGACTGAGACCCTCCTATTATGCTCCATCCATCTCCTCTCAAGCGTGGAGGCAAACTTACAACATCCTCTTCTTTGAGGTGGGGTGACTGGCTGTGTAGAGTTATCTCCCCTGTTCTCAGACCAGAGAAATGCATTCCAATCTACCATTCCAAATTACATTACATTCTACTAGTCATTACATCACATTACAATCTACTATTCTAATCTACTATTACCTTTTGTGGTCAACACAGTCTTTATTCACGTCTGCTTCATTCTGTTGACAATTCTGTCTCTTGGCTGAAGAAGAAGTTGTGGAGCCATGTTGGTCCATGCAGGATCTAAAAACAAAGAACAAAATCTGTTTAATACCTTTTGTTAAGACCAACCAAATTAACACAAAAACACTGTGCAAGCTTTTGAGTTTATCAGAACTCTTCATCAAGCTGGAGCCCACGGGGGAGGACGGGGTATAAATATGAAAAAATAAAATAAATAAAATAAAAAAATGTAACAAAATTTAAAGAATGTTTATCAGGCCAGGCGTCAAAGCCTAAGTGATCAGCCTCAGCAAAGAGAGGAGTGAGAAATGGGAAATGGAGGGGAGGATTCTATCTTGCATGTGGCTATATTGTGTGACAAAGTCCAATTTGGGAAGTTGGTTTCATTCACGGCTGGATGAACCCCTGGGCCAGATTTTTATCAATAAACTTTCACAGCTCTTCCTTTTTGGCCGGTTGAATGAATGAATTAAAGATAGCGGCTAGGCAGAATAACTGTGTCGTAATAGGTGATTTTAACTACCCAAACATTGTTCAAGTTGGGAAAAAGAGATTGAGTTTCTAGACACTCTCAATGACTGTGCTATGGAACAGATGGTCACAGAACCTACCAGGGGTGAGGCGATCCTGGATTTGGTTCTAAGTAATGCCCAAGACCTGGTGAGAGATGTAAAAGTGATTGCACCGCTTGGGAACAGTGACCATAATGTTATTGAGTTCAACATTTGTATAAATAGGGAGTTGCCCAAAAAGACTCACACAACCACTTTTAACTTTAAAAGGGGTAACTTTAAAAGCAGACATGTGAGGAAGAAACGGAAAGGAAAAGTAGAAAGGGTCAAAACCATTGGGGAAGTTTGGAGACTATTTAAAACTACAATCCTGCAAGCTCAGAAAAATATATATACCGCAGGTTAGGAAAGGCACAAATAGGCATAGAAAAAAGCCTGCATGGTTAACAAACAAAGTAATGGAAGCTGTAAAAGGTAAGAAGGATTCCTTTAAGCGGTGGTTAAAACTTTAAAAGGGGTAACTTTAAAAGCAGACGTGTGAGGAAGAAACGGAAAGGAAAAGTAGAAAGGGTCAAAACCATTGGGGAAGTTTGGAGACTATTTAAAACTACAATCCTGCAAGCTCAGAAAAAAAATATATACTGCAGGTTAGGAAAGGAACAAATAGGCATAGAAAAAAGCCTGCATGGTTAACAAACAAAGTAATGGAAGCTGTAAAAGGTAAAAAGGATTCCTTTAAGCGGTGAAAAGCTAGTCTCAGTGAGGGTTATAAAAGGGAACACAGGCTGTGGCAAATAAAATGCAAGTCTGTGATCAGGCAGGCAAAAAAGGAATATGAAAAGCATATAGCAAAAAACCTTCTTCAAATACATTAGAAGCAGGAAACCAGCCAGGGAGGCAGTGGGGCCCTTGGATGACCAAGGGGTAAAAGGAGTACTGAAAGATGATAGGGAAATGGCTGAGAAGCTGAATGCATTTTTTGCCTCTGTCTTCTCTGTGGAAGATGAGATGTGCTTGCCCACTCCAGAACCGCTGATTTCGGGAGGGGTTTTGAAAGACCTGAGTCAGGTTGAGGTGTCAAGAGAGGAGGTCCTACGACTGATAGACAACTTAAAAACTGATACATCACCAGGCCTGGATGGCATACATCCGAGAGTTCTGAAAGAACTCAAAGAACTCAAATGTGAACTTGTGGATCTCCTTACAAAAATATGTAATCTTTCCTTAAAATCTGCCTCCTTCCTGAGGACTGGAAGGTAGCTAATGTCACCCCCATCTTTATACCTGGACAAGTATGGAAAGGAGCTTGGATGGCAGGCCGAAGAGGAAGAATCAACAGAGTCAGAAGATGAATCCCAGAAACAAGAGGAGGCACGAAGTAGTGAAGACAAAAAGAGTGGGGGGGAAAAGACGAAGTAGAAAATATTATAAAGATGTTCTATAGGTGGCATATTTCTCCTGATAGATTAAATAAATTCAATGGGAAAATAGGGAAAAGTTGTTGGAAGTGTAATCATAGTACCGGTACTTTTTACCGGTAGGAAAACAAAAAAAATATTGGGCTATGGTGAAAGAAATCATAGATAAAATATTAGGTAAAGATTTCCCTTTAAACCCAGAATGTTGCTTATTAAATGTGATACCCGAGTCATTTAAGAACAAAGATATATATATAATTATGCAGATTTTAACGGCAGCAAGAATTGTATTTGCCAAACGATGGAAGGAGAATAATATTCATTCTAAAGATGAGATCATTATTAAACTGTTTCATATTGCAGAAATGGAAAAATTAACTTGTATTATTGAAGAAAGAAACTTGGAAAATTATGAAAAGGATTGGTCAAGGTTTTATAACTGGTTAAAAGAGTCAAAGTTTGGTTTAGTCAATGAATAAGGCTTATCCCTCTTTTTTGTGAGTGCTAAAGAGCGAACTTTGTTATACGGTGGAGGATTTCTATTAACATGTAAATATATCAAGAGATAATGTTTTTTCTTTGTTTAATATGAAAAAATCCAATAAATAAACTCTTTTAAAAAAGTTTTAACTTTGGATTCTCACATGACCAGGTAAAAGCCCTCTTATTTCTTGCAGGGATATGACTGGCACCAGCTTTTCAGATCAATAAAAACAATTTCACAGCTGTCATTCTTTGTTATGTTCTTGGCCATTACTGGAAGAGTTAGGAAGGGCAGAATCTTGGTATTCATCACATTGGCATTTTAGATTTCTGACAAATGTTTTCAGTATGCTAATGTGGTTGTGCTTTTATTTCGTTTTTGCCTTTGTAGATTTTCTCATTTTGACTTCCCAATTAAATCCGTATTCTAATCCAACTATTATCTTCTCTGTATCCAAATAAACCTTTCTTCTACTTGGAATGTTGCTGCTGTGTTTTTATTAAGCTGTCTGCACATGCCCTGGAAACCTCTTAGCTACTTCAGGGAAGCTGGCTTTAGTGCAAACAGACTGCTGATGAGGGTCCTGAATCAGCGAAGAGGTATAGCTCCGGACCTCTTTCTATCTAAATCCTGTATCTGGTGCCAGTGATCCCTCAACCCCTATTATTCAGGGATTCCCAGAACTATTTGTCCCTACACCCCAGCTAAGAGAACCCCACCTTAGGTCACCACAAATGTGCCATGCCACAGCCCCGTTCACACAGAGCATTTGCTGCACTAAAGAGACGGATGATAGGCGGATTTTCCGGGCGCGATCACACTGCAACATCTGGGAAGCGTAGTACTCCCGTGGCTAACCCATGGCTTCCCACCGAAGATGCGGATTAAAAAACTAGTACCTACGAGGTACTAGTTTCCAGAAGATGCGAGGCAAGGGTGGGCATCTGATCACGTCCCGTCCTAGTCCCATTGCAAACCGGTCACTTTTTTTTCAGTCTGCACAGGATGCGCACAAATGATCATGCGCATGCTCACCCTCTAGTGAAAAAAAATATTCCCGATTGCCACGGAAGCGGTGCCTAGCGATTGCTGGTGTGATCACGCCCCGCCGCTTCTTTGCCGCGCTGCAGGAGAGCCGTGTGATCGGCACCTCCTGCCCTAACCACGGGACCTCGACGGGATGTGTGTTAGGGTGGCCGCGCGTTATTTTGCTCCGGGGCAAACAGCCACACTCCCCCCCCCCGCATTTTCCGGCCCCTGTGACCGGGACCTCGATATGTCACCTTTAATGTAATCTGGATAAGCAAGGCGTACCTACTTGCCTTTTGTAGTATTGTGCAAAGGATTTAATTGATCTGGATTTCTTAGCATAGCTGTGACTAAACCTAGTATGCTTGTTGTGTATTAATAAATGTAAAAGTATTCATTCTGTGGACCAAACATAACTGGTAACAGAACTTGAGAGAGTACTTTCCAGTATTCCAGACTGGCTCAGAAACTGTCTAATGTGTCCAATCTCATGACACACAAAATTCTGCAGATTTGGGGGCTATTTAAATGTTGATTCCTCTTTGTTAACTTTTCAGACTTTTATTATTTCAGAAATTATTCTGGAATTTACTTAATACCAAAGTTATATCTGTGAATATATGCTCTAAAGCTTGCATTAAAATAATTTTAGTTTTCAGTGTCATGTGTATTCTAAATGATAGCCAAAATAGAGATGTAACTAAAACAAGGGATTGGTGTCAGGTTCTCTGTGTGCATAAGTTTATGCTGCAAATATGTATTTTGTGTGTTTCTCATCTTACTATGGAATCTCTCTTCCACTTAATCACTGGGTGCTTGCTGGATCTGTTGGTTGCACATGGGGGGACAAACTATGTGTGTGTGTTTTTACTGTGCTCTTTGGATTTGGGGGTAATTCATTGAGAATGGGTAACTGTTAGTGCTTATGCTGGTTTAGTGACCTTGAAAACATGAAGAACTCATCAATGTAAATGATCAGTGATTTGGCTCCAAAGGGCAGATGTTAGGTGGTTGTATACTATATATTGGGGAAGAAAAATCAGTATAACATTGGGGCCCTAAGCAAGTATTTAATGGTAAAAAAATTATACTTTACTAGTTTACTTCATGAACTAGCTTAGGTTTGTTACTCCTAAAACTGAGTGCTACTGGTACCTATTTATCGTATTGGGCAGGGTGATGGAGAAAAGCCATACATTTAATTCCTAGTCTGCTGAAACAGATATGGAGCAGTTTTAAAAAATCTTAGCTTTGTATTTTTTTCATTTGATAACAGATGATTCATAATTACATGGAGCACTTGGAAAGAGCCAAGCTTCACCAACTGTCCGGGGGTGATCAACTAGAGCCCATCATGCACAGTAGAATTAGGTAAGCCTTATTGACTTTTCACTCGCTTTAATCTGTTTGTATCTTCAGGGCTTTGTGTGGTGTGGGCTAAATCAGAATTATGTATAGGTGGAATGTGTGAGGAGAGCAGTGTAGAAGCGGGGTGGGG